CAATATTGAATAATATTGGTGATAATGGACATCCTTGTTTCATTACTGATCTTACTGAGAAGGCTTCTAGCTTATCCCTATTACAAATAATGCTTGATGATGGTTTTAGGTAGATGTTTCTTATCATTTTAAGGAAAATCCATTTATACCTACGCTTTTGGGTGTTTTTAATAGGAATGAGTGCTGTACTTGTCAAAAGCTTTTTCTGCATCTGTTGATACAACCATATGATTATTACTTTTGTTTTTGATGTAATCAATTAATAGTTTTCCTTCTGCCAAACCTGCAATCCTGATATAAATTCCACTTGGTCACCATGTATAATCTTTGTGATATATTGTTGTAGTCTTCTGGCTATTGTTTTATTTAGAATTTTTACATCCATATTCATTAATGAAATTGGCATGTAATTTTGTTTCTCTGTTTTTTGTTTTTGTTTGTTTGTTTGTTTTTTGTTCTTCCTGGTTTAGAGATCAGCATCATATTCATTTCATAAAAGAAGTTTGGTAGGATTCCTTTGCCCATTATTCCAAATAATTTATTTAATATTAGAATTAATTGATCTTTAAGTGTTTGGTAGAATGCACTTGTAAATCCAATCTTGATGCTTTTTTCTTGGGAAGCTCATTTATGGCCTGTTTAATTTCTTTTTCTGAAATAGGTTTATTTAGATAGTCTGTTTCCTCTTCTGTTAATCCAGGCAATTTATATTTTTGTAAATATTCTTCAATTTCACTTAAGTTATTAAATTTATTGGCATATCAAAATATCGCTTTTAACTAAATCTATTTCAGCTTTAACTTTGTTTGAGATCATGATTGCTACCCTTGCTTTTTTTTTGCATCAGCTGAAGCATAATAAATTCTACTCCAGCCCTTTATTTTTATGTGTATCTCTTATTTTAAAATGTGTTTCTTGTAAACAACCTATTGTCAGATTCTGTTTTTTAATCCATTCTGCTATCTGTTTCCATTTTATGGGTGAATTCATCCCATTCACATTCAAAATTATAATTACTAGTTGTGCATTTCCCTCTATCCTACTTTTTGTCACTGTTTATCCTTCTCTCCCTCTCTTTTTACCCTATCCCTCCTCAAATATCTAATTTACCTCTAACCACGCCTCACTAATCCACACCCCCTCTAAGAATCCCTCCTTTACCCTCTTCTCCCCTTTTAAAATTCCTTCCCTTATCCTCTCTCCTTACCCTCCTATTTTTTGATCTACATACCTTTCTAAGAGTCCTTCCCTTATCCTCTCCCCTCACCTTCCTATTTCTCTGTAAGTTAAGAAGACTTTAATATCCTTCTTGATGTATATGTTATTTTCTCTTTAATTCAGTTCTGATGAGAATAAGGTTCTAACAGCCCTCTACCCCTCCTGCCTCCATTTTCTCTCTCTCTACCCAATTTTATTATTTAGCATCTTCCCATCATACTCAATTCAGCCCCAAGCCTATGTATTCTCTTTCAAACTACCCAAGTAATGATAACATTCTTATGAGTCACAAATAATGTTTTCCCATATAAGAAGTAAAGATTCTGACCTTATTAAATCCTTCATAATTGGTCTTTAATGTTTACCTTCTTATGTTTCTCCAGAGTCTAGTAGGTCAAAATTTCCATTCAGTTCTGGTCTTTTCTTTACAAATATCTGAAAGTCTTTTAGTTCATTAAATATTCATTTTTTTCATTCAAGATTACACCAGCTTTGCAGGGTAAGTTATTCTTGGTTACAAGTCCAACTCCTTTGTTCTTCAGAATATAGTGTTCTGTGCACTTTGGTCTTTTAATATAGAAGCTGCTAAATCTTGTATTATCCTGACTATAGCTCCACAGTATTTGAATTGTTTTTTTCTAGTTGCTCGTAGTATTTTCTCCTTGACCTAGGAGATTCAAAACTTAGCTATTATGTTCTTGTGAGTTTTCACCTAGGGATCTCTTTCACAGAGTGATTAGTCAATTTTTTCTATTTCTATTTTACTCTCTCATTCTAAAACTTCAGGGCAATTTTCCTTAATAATCTCTTGAAGTATAGTATCTAGACTTTTTTTATCATAATTTTCAAGTAGTCCAACAATTCTTATATTGTCTCTCCTTGATCTGTTCTCCAGATCAGTTGTTTTTCTAATGAGATATTTCACATTCACTTCTATTTTTCCATTCTTTTGATTTTATTTTATTATTTCTTGGTGTCTCATGAAATCATTAGCTTCCCCTTGCCTAATTCTAGTTTAAGGAATTATTTTCTTTGTTCAGTTTTTGAACCTCTTTTTCCAATTGGTTGACTTTCTTTTCATAACTGTCTTTATTTTCTTACATTACTCTTATTTTTTTCCCTAATTTTTCCTCAACCTCTCTCATTTGATTTTTAAAGTCCTTTTTAAGCTCTTCCAAAACTCTTTTTTGGGCTTATGACCATTTTGCTTTTTTCTTTGAAGTAGAAATAGCTGTTTTTACTTCACTATCTTCTTTTGAGTTTGAACCCAGATCTTCTCTATCACCATAGTAGCTATTTATATTTGGGTTCTTTCTCTTTTGCTTACTCCTTATTCTTTAAAGCAACTTATTTCTTGTTTGTTGACTTTGTGTTAAAGTCAAGCTCTAGTCCTGAATTCTGGGGGATAATATGTCAGGCTTCAGGTTTTTTGTGCTTTTGTTTTCTGAGCTCTATCAGGGGCCTGACTTCAGGTATTCCTCTCTGCCCCTGAGCCATGACCAGTCTCTCCCACACCCATCTACTCTGGAACCAAAACAAAGAAATCCTTCAGTGCCCACAGCCAGCAGGGTCCCCATCTTCTTCCATGGCACTCACCCAGCCCACGTGCTAATTCCTCCTCTCTCACAGCCACAGCCAGGACCAGAGCCAAGAGTCAGCTTACCTCACCCAAGCAGGTATCTAGCACCAGAGGATGGCCCTGCAATCTTCCCCTGATCGGCTGTCTGACCCCGACACTGTCTGTGAGGCAAAAGTTCTTGAAGCTGTAGCTGCAGCTTACACAGCTGCCCCCAAGGCTTGTTGTTTGTTGATTGGGCAGTATCTGCCCGGAGGTATTTGTACTTCAATCAGGTCAAATCACCACCCTGGGATGTAGGGGCTTTCCTAACATCCCCTGAAGTTGTTTTAGGTGGAAAACTGCTTTACCCCAACTTTAAACTATTTCTGCCCCTCAAAGTTCACTCTGAGGTATTATTTCATATTGTTTGTGGGGGGATTTAGGAGAGCCAGGTAATTTCCTCCCTTATTCCACTATCTTCCCAGAATCCTCTCCAGTTGGACTTTCTAATGATCAAGCAGAGGGAAGTGATGGGTAGTTAGCTTGATGGCCTCTGAGCAAAAGAGACCATCCATCAATTATTCAAAGCCTCTGTCTCAGATATGGCCTCTGAAAATTTCCAGTGAAAGAGATAACAATAATGTCTAGCATTTATATATGTGTCAGACACTATGCTGAGTGCTTTACAGATACCTCATTTGATCCTTACAACAACCCTAGGTGGTAGATGCTATTGTTATACCCATTTTCCAGTTGAAGAAACTGAGGCAAATAGAGAGTAAGTGATCTGCCCAATGTCCCACAGCTAATAAGAGGTCAGATTAGAATTCAGGTCTTCCAGACTCCAGATCCAGCAGTTTATCCACCAGCTACTATTACTAGACAACCATACTTGAAGAAAAAGGGATCCCAGTTTAGATGGCAAAAAAAGACTTCACCTAGAGGCTTTTAGGCCAGGGCATAAAATAATCCCCAGAGTAGAAAAATACTGATACCAAGCTTGGTTCTTCTATAAGTTTAGGTATAGAGAAGCGGTCCTCTGTCTATGATGTTGGAGCAAAGGTCAGTAAATTCCAGAAGAACTCGACCCATTCAACCAGTCACTGGGCTCACTTATGATGGCACAGGTGAACCTGAACTAGTGATCCATGTGTCCGGATGGCAGTACTAGAGATTCCCCACCTAAAGTGTGCCTTGCATATAAATGCATCTATTTGTTCCTGTACATATTAATTATTACCTGTCTGAGCTCATACTTATTATAGTTTTGCTGTCATACTTACTGGATCATGTACTTGTACAATGTTTGTAGTATAGCAACACCTATTAATTGTTTTTGTCTTTGTGTGTATGTATGCTAATATTTATAGTTATGTTTGCTCTCATAGCCCTGTTGATGTTGTTAGAGCTAGCTAGCTTTGCCTTGTACTCATTTTGCTTTTTATGATTACTTCCTCTCGTACTAAGTATATACATGAGTGCTGCCCATAGAAAATAGGCATATTCACATGGGGAGTCTAAATGTACAGACATTGGCTCAAGGGAAGGCATTGCCCACCCTTCTCCAAGGATTTTGTGATTCCTACTTTGTGGTGAGCAGGAGAAGGAATTGGGCAGGTCGCTTACCCTCTATTTGAGGCTGGCCTCTCTAGTCTCCTGTGAGAAAGAGGTACTAAAATTATGTCTATCTGCCCCCCTAAATATTGCTCATTTAGGAGCACATTTTTATGTTTAAAAGCTGCTAACTGGGCAGCGAGGTGACACAGTGGGTAGAGCAACAGCCCTCCATTCAGAAGGAGCTGCGTTCAAACCTGGCCTCAGACACCTACTTAGCTGTGTGACCCTGGGCAAGTCACTTAACGCCTATTGCCCAAAAGATTTTAAAAAGCTGTTTGCTTTCCTAGTCATTATTTCTTAAAGGGCAAAGGGCAGCCCTTAGCTTACACCTGCCAGTTTGACATTTTTGCAAATGCTAGTTACAAAAAAGACCATGACAAATAGCAAATGACAAATAAACCCATTCCATTCAGTTAATAAACATTAATTTAGCTCATACTATGTGCTAGGCACTTGGGACACAAAGAAAGGCAAAAAAACAGACCTTGCTCTCAAGGAGCTTACAATCTAATGGGGGAAACAGCATGTGAACAAATTTGTACAAACAAGCTATATGCAAGAAATAATTAAGAGAGAGAGGGCACTAGAATTAAGAGAGATTGGGAAAGGCTTCTTGTAGAAGATAAGGAAGACAGAGAAGTTAGTAAGCAAAGATGAAGAAGGAGACATAGGAGACAGCCACAGAAAATGCCTAGAAAACCAAGATACGGAGTGACTTCTTACAGGAACAGCAAAGAAGCCATTGTCATTGGATTGAAGAGTATATGATTTGGGGGGTGGGGGTACCAGGGGGAAGGTAACTAGTAAGAAGACTGGAAATGTAGGATAGATACTAGACTGTGACAGGCTCTGAATGCCAAACAGAGGATTTCATATTTGATCTTGGAGGTGATAGGGAGCCCTGGAGTTTATTGAGTAAGGGGGTGACGTGGTTGGACCTCCACCTCTCACACAAACTTTACTTCTCATGTAATCACAGCAGTGTTGCATCAGTAGTCTCTCCACCAATTAAGGGAGTCTCATGAAAACACTCTAGACTTGCCTAGAACTCCAGGTTACACATGTGTTCCTGAAATGTACACGTACTATGTCATGAATGTAATTTGAACATTTAGTCACTGAAGCATCCTGTCAAGTGAAGCTGTGTATAGTGCTGTGTATATTGAATCTATTGCTTATTTATTGGTTTGTTTATTTAAGATTGGGTTTCTCCTTCTCACCCAGGCTGGAAGTACAGCAACCCTTCATGGGCCCAATCTCACTACCAATTGGCATGGGAGCTTTGACCTTCTCTATTTCTGACCAGTGCTGGTTTACCCTCCTTGGCCAGCCTAGTGGATTCCTGATCCCAGGAGCTCACCATATTGATGCCAAACAGCATAGACATCCAATCAGCATATCAAGATTTTGATAACCTTAACCTCTCCTATAGCTGGGACTATACCATACTCATATAGCTGGACTCCACCATACTCAGAATATTGCATCTGTTGATAATGTGCACTTGTCTTTAATGGTACCATAGGATGATTACCTAGGGTGCCAAGAAAATCATGCTTATTAATTTCAAAGTATTTACATTTATGCTTATGTCATGTAATTAAAGATTATAAGTATAGTCCAGTTAATTTTTACAAGGGACTAAAAAGCATATGGCCCTGGGGAGGAATGTAATCTTGTGTCACCATCACCATGAAGATGAGAGATACTACCCTAGAATTCATCAACTAGTGCCATCATGGAACAGGAGCTTCTGGGACTGTTTTGTGAAGATTTCTGGGAGAAAGATGGTGGAAGGAGAGAAGCTACATTGAGCTTAGTGTTGAATATTTGCTCTCTTCTTGAAACTGTGCCTGTGCCCAGACACATTGGTTCCTGGCATTCTGCCCCTATTTCTCCCATGTGGTGAGAGACTGAGACAAGTAGGCCTGATTTTCACATAAATGTTCTCCACCCTCCTTCCTGTTTTTTTGGATTTCCTCAAATGAACACATTTTCTTATTATGCAGTACTGCTCTCCTCCCTTTTGCCCTCACCTTTTTCTCTTCTGTTACAATAAGGTTTACCCCTTCCAGAGACATATTCCAGTCATGGGTCTCATCCTATCAAGTCTCAATAATTCCTATGAGATCAAACTTACCACCCTGCATTAGACTCAGTAATTCATTTTGCTTGTTACTCATTCTGAGGTAGGAAAGGAAGAGTTATTCTCCATTTCTCCTGAGGACTGAACATGATGAAATGAACTAAATTCAAACAGGGAAGATTTAGAATTCTTAATGGTGTGAAGTTTTTAAAATCAGAAGGTGCTGAGTCTCTTCGTCCCCCTACTTCCATCCTTGTCTTCTCCTTAAGTGGGGCAGGTAAGGTTTGGTAGATCTCTGAAAAAAAAAAAATTCAGTTAGATGAGTCTAGTCTAATTTTATTGTTGGTTATTCATTTTCATTTTACCAGTAGGAAAAAGAGAGTTCAAGAGGGTTGGGCATGGCCCTATGTGGGCTTTAATCATTCAGAAAGCTAGGACCAGAATCCTTTCTCCTTTACCCCTGCTATACTTTCTCGGAAGAGATGTCATTGCATTAGAAATCATTTCAAGTAACACCTTGATTACCCCACCAAGGAAATATGGTTAAGTAAAACAAACTGATACAATGATCATGTTTGACAGTGTGTGTGTATATGCCTCATTCCCCACCTATGATCAGACGGTCAGTAAAATGTATTAAGTGCTTACTTTGTGCCAGGTATAGCGCTAAGTGATGGGGATACAGGGAAAGGTAAAAGATAGTACCTACTCTCAATGAATTCACAGTCTGGGGGAGAACAGCATGAAAAACAACTATGTAAAAATAAGATATAAACAGGACCAAAAATGAATAGAGGGAAGGCACTTGCAGAACGTGGGATTTTAGCTGGGACTTGAAGGAAGCCATTGAAGTCAGGAGGTAAAGATGAGGAGGAGAGTGTCAGGAGTCTGATGGAGAAAAGTACCCATCAGATCGTCTTATTTATTTTTCAGAGAACCAGTAAGAGAGATAAAAAGATTATTGTCCCCAATTTGCTGACAGAGAAACTGAGCCCAGAGTTTTACCTAGGGTTCTGACTATGGTCATGCATTACCTCAACTTTGAGCCTGAAATCCCGAAGCCTAGCTTTGTGACACCCCAGGCTCTCTTTACTTATATGAAAGAGCGTCTTGAAATTCTCAAAAAAGTGTAACATTTAAAAAAATAAAAATCTACAAACATAGTCCTTTTATGTGGTGCGGTGTGGTTGGAGATCAGACTGCGACACGTGCAGAAACATTAGCAGGGTGCACATGCACCTTCCCCCATTCCCCACCTACCCAGGTCTGTCCTTGCCCGCCCTTTTGTCCTACGCTGAAGTATTTACTAAACTGCCTGGTTCAAGTGTTTATTGTGCTGCCTCATACTGGAGGGGCTTCATACCTTCCCCTCACCCTCTGCCTTGTTCTATATTTTGGACTTTTACTTCTCCCATGCCAAGTAAATAACCTCTGGGTGTTTGCTGAGAGAACATTTCTACCCATGGGTTTGCTTCCTTCATTCCTTGGGTTGTAGTTTTCCTTTACACCTCTTGGAGAAGGGTAACAAGAGTCACAGGATAATAGGCTCATAGATCTGGAAATGGAAGAGGTATTAGAAGTCATCTGGATGAGGAAACTGGAGCCCAGAGAGATTAAGTGATTTGCCCAATGTCACACAAAGATGTAAATAGCAGAGTCAGGATTCAAATCCAGGTGGTCTGGACTCTAAGTCAAGAGTTCTTAAGCCTGAGGCATCCAATAATAATAATAATAATAATAATAATAACTAACATTCATATAGCACTTACTATGTGTAAGTGCTTTACACTTTATAAAGTAAGCTTTATAATTATGTCATTTGATTCTTAAAACAACCCTAGGAGGTAGGTGCTGTTATTACCCCATTTACAGATGAGAAAACTAGGGCAGACAGAGGTTAAGTGACTTACACAGGTCATACAGCTAGTGTCTGAGGCTGGATTTGAATTCAGGTCTTCCTGACTCCAGGCCCAGCACTCTATCCACTGAGCCACCTAGACGCTAATCCCCAGTACTTTGTATAATGCTTGGCGCATTTAAAAAAAAAATTCAACCTGTTATTTCATCTGTATAGGGGGCTCCCAGTGAGGAACTTTGTTTTCTAATGAAGATGAGCATTCCATGCAATGTATTACCTTGAAGAGTTGCGTGGCCAGTGTGTGGAAGGCTTTGAATCTGAACCCCGGTTATCCTGACTCAGAAACCAGCTGGTTTTATTCCTTTACTCATTTCATAGTACTACACAGCAAAGGCCTGAGGTGTGAACCAAACAAAAGACACCAGCGGCAGGATAAAAAGGATTAGCCATTTAATCTTCCAAATGACCTATAGAATCACAGAAGTTTTTAGTTAGAAGAGAACTCAGCAACCATCTAGCACATACCCCAAAAGGAATCCCCACCATCACATGCCCAACAGATGTCCATCTACTGACCTCCAAAGAAAGAGACATTCCAGAAGGTACCAGAAAAGCTCTAATTCCAGGGTTCTTGGCCTTTTCTGTGTCATGGACCCCTTTGGCAGACTGGTGAAAACTACAGACATCTTCTCAGAATGCTGTTTTTTTTAATGCATAAAATAAAATACATAAGATTAAAATTGACAGCAACTATTGAAATAGAAATAGTTGAATTAGTGATAAAAATAATATGTTTCTTAAAGTTCCCAGGCCCTAGATTAAGAGCCCCTGCTCTGATGATTAGGAAGTATTTCTTAACATCAAATCTAAATTTGTCCCTGAAATTTTTACTTAGAACTTCTTCTTCCTATCCTTTCAGTCTCTCCCAAGGGCCCAAAATGGAAATGGTCAAGGCTAGGTGGCCTAAGGCAGGGAGAAGGGCATGACCCTGATTCTCTGGGTGCCCCTAGAAGGGAACTGGGTCCTGAGCCTGCCATTCTCTGGTTCTGCTTTCTCAGCCTGAAGCATTATATAGACTTCCAAAGCCTGTTTCTATGAGTGAGTGACCTTTCTGTCATTATACTTTCCCAGCATTCCGTTTCCATTTTTGTTGTTCTTTCTGTTTACATTATTGTACATCTTGTTTTCCTATTTCTACTTACTCTGCTTTGCATCAGCTCATATAAGTTTTCTCTGCATTCTTTATCTTCATCATCTCTTACAAAGCCGTAATATTCCAGTACATTTTATACCAAAAATGTATTTAGTTATTCCCCAACTGATAGGCATCTACTTTGTTTCTAGTCTATTGATACTCCCAGAGATACTATCAATATTTTGATGTATAAGGGACTCTTCTGTTCATGCTCAACCTCCTTGGTATATAGGCCTAGCAATAGTATTTCTAGGTATGGACATTTTAGTTACTTTTTGGTTATCTATGGGACCTTTTGGTTTATCCTAGACTTCCTTTGGGTTTACACTTAGCAGTATAGGCCTAGCAGCAGGATCCCTGGATATGGACATTGTAGTTACTTTTGGGGAATAATATCAAATTGTTTTTTCTTCAAGTCCCGACTAAAAGCCCACCTTCTACAGGAAGCCTTTCCTGATCCCCCTTAATTCTAGTGCCTTCCCTCTTTTGACTATCTCCAATTTATCTTTGTTTTATATATTTTTGCATTTATTTCCCTCATTAGACTGTGACCCCATGGAAGGCAGAGACTGTTTTTAGCCTTTCTTGGAATCCCTAGTGCTTAGCACAATGCCTGGCACATAACAGGTTGACTGACTGACTGACTGACAGAATGGTTGGAGCAATTCATAGCTCCACCAACAAGGTATCAGTGTGATTGTCTTTCCCCAATCCAGTGTTCTCTTTCTGTTTGGGCAGCTGTCTTTTTGTCTCTTTCCAATGGACTTCTTGGTTTCTTTCTGCCCTTCTTCAGAAGTCTGGGCAGTACCAAAGAACACTTCAATCATTTCCCTTCTACTCACTTTGTATCTTCCCATTTTGGCCTCCCTGTCTGTCATCTTCTCCTTACTTCCATCTCCACTGTGTGGTCACATACTCACAGGAATGGTCACACTGTAGACTTCACTATTACCTGAAGTCCTGAAGTTTTAGGTAATATTGAGTTGTGTTTATGTTCTTTTTTTTTTTTCTGTTTGGTGAGGCAGTCAGGGTTAAGTGACTCGCCCAGGGTCACACAGCTAGTAAGTGTTATATATCTGAGGCCGGATTTGAACTCAGGTCCTCCTGACTCCAGGGCCAGTGCTCTATTTACTGTGCGACCGAGCGGCCCCTGATCTCCACTATTTAAAAAACAAAATTTTTTTTTAAATTTAAAAAAAAAAAACTTTCCCTTGATTCAGTCATTCACTCACACTGTCATCCTAGCTTTCCTATACTCAATTGTTGAATTATCATTAAGGCAAGTCAGGAATTGATTAGCTACTCCTCTTTTGGCAGAGAGAGTTTTGGCCAGTGTCTGAATACTTAAAATTCTTCCAAGACGATTATATCATGCCTCCATTTCAGGCTGAGAATGTTGACCATTTTCCAAAGTCTTTGTTTCTTCCTCTGATCATGTGATTCATGATAATATCACTTCGGCCTCTCTTTTCATTGATCTTGACCATCCCCCCTTTCTTGATATGTTCTCATTCCTAAGTTCTTATGACATAAACGTTCTCTACCATCTTTCTGCTTTTGGTTCCTGTATTTTCTCACATGAACATTATTATGGGAGTCCTTTCTAGTCTCTGTATTTGCCTGTAGATTCATTTAATATACACAAGAAACTGATACAAGAAATTCTGAACAAAAGCACTGAATGAATGTTAATCTCTTTGCTGCATTTAAATAGCATGTTTTAAAGTTTTGGAGCTTGTCTTAAGAAAAATTAAATGTTAAGTCATATACTTACACCACTGACAGACTGAATAGTATTTTTGTTGGTGGTGGTTATTGGGGTTTTTTGTTGTTATTGTTATCTACTTATTCCTTAAATTTCTGAGCAGTCAGTGATTGTTGTGCAGAGATTTTCACTCCCCAGAAGAGAGTGAGGTATAGAGATAAGCCACCTATAAAACCCTGAGAGCAGGTTCTGTTCTCTTACTTAAGTGATTAGCCAGGAACTGAGCCAAACTCATTCCAGCTGCCCCACATTTTTTTTTTTTTACTTGAGGACAGGACCAGACTGTTAACTGATGAAGTTAGAAGTATTCCAGGAAGTTTCTATTGCAAATTTTTTTCTGAGTAAGGTTTCACAAACAAGAGAACATGCCTTCCAACTACATTTTATGACTGATATATATGTCCATGCCCTGTTTTCTACAATATCTCTAACTCTTACAATACCTAAATGAAACCCACAGTTCAGCACCTCTATCTTTGGGATTAAAACTTTGGGCAACCCTTCTTTCCCAAATATCTTTGGTTCATATTGCCCCTCCTCCCCCTTAAGAGTTCTCACTGGGAAAAGCTTCAAATACAGTTCATGTTTAGATTTCTACAAATGTGAGTAGCAGAGTCTTCTGTTTCTGTACAAGCAGTACATAAGTGGTCTGTTGTTAGAGGCTTTATGGAAGGACATAGAAAAAAGTCACACATGAAAAGAAAGTGGAAATAGGCTGTTATCTGCACTAGAGTAGAAAATACCCACATAAATGAGATCATAGATCCATTGAATGGCCTTTCAGTTGACCAAAAGAGATTATTAACATAAGTAATTTTTATTATATTTTATTTTTCAATTGACAAGCATTTATTTTTCTTCCCCTAATGTCTGCCCCCCCAATTTAAAAACAAACAAAAAAAAGAAATAAAAACAAAACTTTTGTATATGCATAGTCTAACAAAACAAAATTCCACAACGTCCATGTTCAAAATTGTAGGTCTCATTCTACATCTTGAATCCATCACTTTTCTGTCAGGAAGCAGATGGTAAATCATCATTAGCACTCTGGAATCATGGTTAGTCATTGCATTGACTAACAAATTATTTGTCTTTACAATGTTGTTATTGTACAAATTGTTCTATGTTTCTGCTCACTTCACTCTGCCTTAGTCCATACAAGCCTTCTCAGGTTTCTTTGAACCTGACTTTGAACCAACTCTTTTGTCATTTTTATGGCACAACAGTATGCCATTACATTCAATTACTGCGATTTGTTTGGCTATTCCCCAACTGATGGCTACTACCTTAGTTTCCACTTGTTGGTTTTTTGCAGCTGTAAAAAGTACTACAAAAATTCTGATCCTTTTTTTCCCTTTGATTGCTTTGGAAATATAGGCCTAGAAGTAGTATGTCTAGATTAAAAGACATGCAGAGTTTGGTGACTTTTTTGGAAAAGTTCCAAATTGCTTTCCCAAATGGCTAAACCAATTCCCAGATTTCCCTCAGCCCCTTCAGCATTTGTTAGTCTCCTTTTCTGTCATCTTTGACAATTTGATAGATGTGAGATGGAACTTCAGAGCTGTTTTAATCTGCAATTCTCTAATTATTAGTGATTTGGAGCATCTTTTCATGTGGCTGTTGATAGCTTGGATGTTTTTCTTTAAAAACTATCTGTGCATGTCCTTTGACCATTTGTCAGTTGAGGAATGACTCTTACTCTTCTAAGTTTGAATCAACTGCTTATTTTTCTTGGAAAAGAAACCTTTATCAGAGAAATTTACTGCAAAGATTTCTTCCTCCTATTGCTTTCTAATATTAGGTGCATTGACTTTAAGGAAAAAAAATTCAATTTTCTGTAATAAAAATTGTCCATTTTATCTTCTGTGATAATGAATTCTTTCCTTATCTTAGATCCAAAAGGTGATTTTTTCCTTGTCCTCTAATTTTTTTGTGATCTGATCTTTTATATCTGTCATGTAGTCATTTGGAGCTTACTTTGGTATATGGGATATATATGCTCCATTTGGAGCTTACCTTGGTCAAAACCTAATTTCTGCCAAAATGTTTTCCAATTTCCCCAGCAGTTTTTGTCAAATAGTGAATCTTTAATGCAGCAACTGAGATCTTTGGGTTTATTGAGCATTAGCCTACTGTGTACATTTGCTTCTGTATGTTGCTGAGAACTGGTACTGCCATGTCAGGCAGCTAAGTGGTGCCATAGTGCACAGAGTGCCTGGCCTGAAGTCAGAAAGACTCATCTCCCCAAGTTCAAATCTAGCCTCAGACACTTACTAGCTGTGTAACCCTGGGCAAGTCACTTAACCCTCCTTGCCTCAGTTCATCATCTGTAAAACAATCAGGAGGAGGAAATGACAAACCACTCCAGTATCTTTGCCAAGAAAACCCCAAATGGGATCATGAAGAGTCTGAAACGACTGTACAACTGCCACGTCTCTGCTTCCCTGTCCCTATTCTCTTTCTCTTGCGCAGACCAGGTTCTCAACCTTCCTTCCTTCCCTCTTCCCTCTTCCTCTTCTTCATTCTTTCCTGCCTCTTTCCTTTTCTTCATCTTTCTCTTTTCTCCATTCTTTCTTCTCTCTTCCTTCTTTCTATCTTCTTTATTCTTTTTAAATCACTCTTCACTATTTCCTCTTTAGTTTGTTTTGCTTATGACTAATCCCTTCATGAATCTACCTTCATTATTATTCCCTCTTCTCCCCTCTCCTCTCATTTCCTGGTTGACTAATT